TCCAGCAGACCCTGGGCTTGAGCTGTGGGGGGTGGGGGGGGGGGGGCTGCCTGCCCGTATCTCCCTGGTGGGCGCCCCCGTCCTCCCGTATCCCTCATGGTGCCCCCTGCCCTCCCTTATCCCTCGTGGGGGGGCCGCCCTGCCCTCCCGTCTCCTTTATGGGCGCCTTTCACAGCCCGCTGTGTCCCCGCGTCTTGCGTCACGGCCTGTGAGCGCTGCGACATTCTTCGCTACCCGCCCCGGTCCCCCCTCCCCAAGCCCACCCCGCACCCCGCCACCCCCGCCGCCCCTGCCACTCCTCCGCGCTCACCCGCTCCCGCGTGCGCCCTCGCAGGTCAAGGACGCGGAGGCCAAGGGGGCCACCCTCTGTACGGGGCCGTACCGCCGCGAGGCCAACCTCATCTGGCCCGTAGTGCTGGACCACGTCACCCCCGACATGCGCATCGCGTGGGAGGAGGTGGGTGCCCTGCTTGTGGTGCAGGGGCGCACGCAGTGGGCAGTGTGTGTGTGTGTGTGTGTGTGTGTTTGTGTGTGTGTGTGGTGTTCCTGCCACCTGTGTTGTACGGGAGGTTCTCGCTGACAGAGGGGTGGGGGAGGGAGCCCTCACCGTTTGTCGACGGGCAGCATGGCAGCACAGCGCGGCAGCACGGCGAGGCAGCGTGGGCGGCGGCCGGCGGAAGCCGAGCTGCCATGCCGCTCCGCCCGTCGCCCGCGCCTCACCTCCCGCCTTCCTGCTCCCCCTGGCCCTCTCCCGGCTCCGCCCGGCGTGCAGCCCTTTGGCCCCGTGCTGCCCATCATCCGGGTAAAGAGCGAGGAGGAGGCTGTGGAGCACGTGAATGCCAACCGCCTGGCGCTGCAGGTGCGCCCACTGCCCGTATTGCTCCTGGAACCTGTTGTTGCCTGTTGTTTGTTTTCCCTGGTACCTGTTGTTTGTTGTTCCTTGCGTGGTGCCGCTGCCGGGGTCCAGGGTTTCATTGGCACGGGTAGGGCGGCCGGGTGGGCGAGGGTGGTGCATGAGGATGGGCTGTGGTGCAGCTGCATGTCACCCACCCCTGCCCCCGGCGCACCTCCCCGCCTCCCTCCCTGCCTACCCGCCGCCGTCCCGCCGCAGGGTTGCGTGTCACCCAGGATA